CTCGACAAAGGGTAATTCATCAAAAATTCCAACTCGTTGACAATTGTTTGTGAGGCCATTCAGTTTCCACATTGCACTCATCTTCTGTATTAGAACACATACACATGTTAGACATTTTAATATAAGCAAGTTTCGGGCACCGGATATTTTTTTGAAAAGCTGTTTCACCGAATTTCGCATCTCCCGGTTCGTCGAATTTTGATATGAAATCATAATATAATTATTATACTTGTCACTTCTTCAATTAGAAATGGTTACAGATAATTATAAAATAAAAGTAGGCTTTCGCAAAAATTATGTCGATTATAGGCTATGCCAACGTAGCCGAACAGTAAAAAAAAATGTTATGAGGGTGTTTTTGTTAGGGTTCAAAAAAGACAAAGGCGATTCTTCAAATGAGCACTGGTCACACAGGCCGACTGGTAACATAATTAAAATAAAAGCACCGACTTCACAGAACAGGAAAAAACAATTTCACTAGACGTTTCGCCTCCTTGAATAAACGCCTCCATGAAAAAACGCCTCCATGAATCATGAATAACCAACTCGCCCAAGCTGAAGTTCTGACCAGTTCCGCCTCCCTTGCGGGAGGCATCTTCAGTAGTCACACAACAATGCCTGTGTAAGCTTCGTGGAGAGGGCCGCGTTTTTTGTTACACACGGACGTGTGTGTCCCTGCGAACAAACCACGATTCTAGGATTTTCGGGACCCCCATCTGTCCTCCCTCGCCAAGGTCGTCGCGGCCGGGAAGTCAAAATAATGCCCTATTGTCCACACATAGTAGACCAGTTCAGACTTCAGTCGGGTCGCGTGGGATGCGCACGTGACGTCACGCTTGTGTTTACAAAGCAAATGAAAAGTTCAACCTCAAGTCAACGCTATTTATCAAATATGTCCGTACTTCGTGGAGAGGGCCGCGGTTTTTCTTACACACGGATGTGTCTCTGAGAACAAACACGATTTTAGGAGATTTTCGGGACTCCCATCTTTGTCATAGGGTGACTCGTTTATCGGACTGTTCGTCGCAGCGAGAGTACAGGGAAGGATAATAATTCATACCCTATATTGTGCAGAAGAGAAGAATATAAAAAAAGAAAAGAAAACGAAGCGAAAATTTCGATTTCCTTTCTTGTGGACAGGGCATTGTAGGTGAACGTGGCTTCCTTGTTTGATTCGCCAAAGTAGCAACAAAGCGACATTTTACGATCGAGCGAGCACCGTCGGAAACACTGCCCAAAATAATTTTATAGGGAGTTTCACGGCTTTCCACTGCGACATAAGCACGTGGATAGAAAAACAAATATTGACAACAATAATTGTCGAATATTTTTGGCACGCTCACACCTGGTTTTTCTTCATAATTTGATGACTCATATGTTGATTTTGTTTGCGGAACCGTACTTCTGACCGGCAATTTTATTGCCCACGCGAAGCTTTTGCGTGCGATCCACTACAGTTAATTATTTTGGAGTGTCCAAGTTGAAGCGGTGCGTGTTATTTTTCGATCTCTGTCCGAATGATACAAAGTTTCACGTTTTCACCCTGTGAGTGAAGTGAGTTGGTCAGTGCTAGCATCGAAGGCTAACTTCGAACTCTAATTTGGAAATAATGTCTCTGTTGCCGCATCGCGGACAAAGATATATATGCTCTTATCACTGTAGCAAAATAACGTGGCAGGATTTGTGCTCTTGTTATGATCGTGTACCATTGTAGTCGACGTCATCCCAGCACGGCGTATCGTTTTTGTATTCGGTTGAGCCCTGCAAACCACACTTAGGAAAAAAATGAAAGTTTGCACCTTGTTTGTTCAATTTTTTGTTATACTGCATAAACATATTGCGCCCCGTGTTTTTGAAGGCACGGTAGACGGTGGTGACGGTGAGGTGACCGACCCCCATGTCAGCCGGCGTCTCGCTCGACCTCCTCGGAGGACAGGTCGTTTTTACTGGTGACTGGTGCATACGTGGAGCAACTCCGCGCGCATTGCGTTCTTCATCTCAGAGAACGCAATACATGACTCAGCTCTATCTCGTCATCGCTCCAAAATGACAAGTGGAATTCGCAACTGTAGTCGGTGACAGGTCAAGAACGAAGTGGGAGCTCCTCCCACCCTGTTCCACTTCAGCGGAGCGAACGGGGGAGAAGAGGTTGCCCCCTCTCCAGCGTTCGCAAATGGCAAATATTAGTTTATTAGGCCACTAACTGTCAATTTACGCTCGTTCCTTTACGTCCGTCGCAGCCGATAATGTTATCCCCGGGAATACCAAAAGTATAATTTCTTTCAGCAAAAAAAAAAAAACAAAACAAAACAAAACAGAATAATAAAACGCCCGGTATATCACAGCTTTGACAACGCTTCACGTGTGTGAGGTTCGATGACCGACAGAGAACCACCGCTGGCCGTGCTCCCGAAGCGGGGAAGTGCAATTTATGGAGACCGATCATATTATCAGAAAGGTGCAGACTAGGGAGCCTTCATGTGCGCGAAGCGCACATGGAGGCACTCTAATGCAGACAATCCAGGAAAAGTATTCTTGCAACTATGAGGTTCCAGTTGTACTTACACATGCATTATCGTCAAATTTGACGGAGTTCCTTCCAACACTAAAGAGTTGTCAAGAGTGAAGATTATAAAGGAGAATATCAGCAGGAATCTATTGTCTGTTTACTGAAAACAAAACAAGCATCAGAAAAACGCATTTGGGCGGCCGGGGAGGCCAGAAGCACGGACTGCGCGCACCCAGCGTGGAACCAGCGAATGAGAGGGCACTCCTAGCAATCTGTTTTCAGAGCCACGGTATGCCGGCTGCCGGCCAAATGTCCACTTTAATTCTATTATGGCTTTCGAAACGTAAATACACGCTCGAGAATTTTCAACAATATCACGCGAGCGCCGACCGGCCTGTAGATCAGCGCATCGTCACGGCGCGAAGTAGCGATATCAATGACAGTACGCGCGTGCGCAGAAGAAACGCGCCGAAGTCGGCGTCGGCTGCTAAGCTGTTTCCCCAATCACGACCCACCCCTGGCGCGACGCCCACCGCTTGCTCCACCCCATAAGCAGGGGACCTATACTTCGTTTCAGCTTCGGTGCGAGCGCGGCCGATGTTATGAGCCGAAGGGCCAATGAAACAGCGAAAGAGGCACAACGTCATGGCCTGCTCTCTGCAGTTGATAGGACCAGCCGGCATTCGCTCTCTCTCTGTGCACTGCTCCTCCGCCGGCTAGACTTATCAAGCGCAGAGAGCACGCCATGACGTTGCGCTTTTCGCACAGTTTGATTGGCCCTTCGGCTCATAACATCGGCTGCGCTCGGACAGAAGGTGAAACGAAGTATAGTAATCAAAGCGACACACACGGTACGCAAACACGAACAGCAGCCAGTAGGAAGGACACCGACACGAGCTTAGTCAGCGAACGAAAAGACAGACACAAACTTCACTCTAGGCAAACAGAGCAGGGGTAGTTACAAGGATGAGATGCGTGCGCAGACGGAGGTAACCAGTGCACAATAAATACGCGAAAACTCGCAGCAACCGAAGAACTACGCAGCAAACACGTACGTGCACACGCACCAGAAGCACGTGCGTCACGCTGCGTATCTACGCAGAACTGGCGATTTTGGCATTTCGGTAATTTGAAACTTCGATATCGATTCCGTGAACAATTTATTCAGCAAACTGAACCGGTGGAGCCTCGCATAAAAAAAAAAATCGTTTAACAATATGAAAGCGACTGAAATTCTTCCTAAAAGCTATATTAGCAGAAAGTACCGTGTTATAAAGGACCTCACGAGTTTCGACCAAATTTTCCAGCACGTTATTTTGCAAGAAACGGAAGAAGCCAAGTGTACAACCAGTTTCTGAAGCTGGCAACCACAGCTGGAATCAGCGCCATCCTCGGCAGTTTCCTGAACCTCGCGTAGTCACATTTCAGCCACCGCCACATAGAGGGCGCAACCAGACATCCAATTTGTGTTTTCTGTGTGTTTTATGATTCTTTTTAATAAATAGGCTCGATTAGTGAAAATGTCGGCTAATAATCAGGACCTGGAACAGTAATCTCCATTTAATACTAAAAATATCGGCCTAAATGTCTGCCAAAAGGGGTCAAAATACTCGTTTTTGACTATCAACAAATACGTGATTTCACCTATATTGAAACTTTTTTTATGGAAAATCAAAAGTGAAATTTAGAAAAAGGGCCTCGCTTTGCAAAGCAGAATATGTTTTTCTTTGCGGGCCTACAATTTTATTCATGTGCGCCAATCCCTAAGCGCTGTCCCACTGTACTACCAAATGAAGTTTGCCAAAATTAACGGTTTTTGGCACTTTTCACGTGAGCATTCCGAAAAAAGTTTAAGCCATATTACAATGAAATTTAGCGTAACTCTTTCGACCATAATTACAAACTGATGTAAAAAGTTTCAAATAAAATGACCGAGTAGGCGCCCAAAACTTCGCGACTGAAGTGCTTCCGCAAAGTCAATTTTTCTAAAGTAAATATCTGTCAAAATAAAATAAAAAACGAAAAAAGGGCCTCCGTTGACAATGAACGCACTCTTCTTCTATAACATTCTAAAATTAGAAAGAAATTGCTCCAATAGTGCACCCTGTACCACTGTACTACGAAACCATGTTTTGCCGAAAAGGTCAATGTTCGCGGGTGCCCTCTGAATTAGCTTTTTGCACTAGGAAAACAAATCCTACATCAGATAAAAGATAATGTTGTACACTACAAGATGATATATAACACATAATTTTAGCAAGCTTGAACACGCCACGATCGCATTTCGAAAACGTGCTGAAAGCGTCATATGTCATGGCCGCCGTGGGACCGCAGCCTTAAGGTTCATGAGACGCCGAAACGATGTAGAAGTTAGGAAGCTCGTACCGTGGAAACTGAAGTACCTCCCTGTCGTTTTCACCCAGTCAGTGAGTGCGAGTAATTCTTTCGCACTCAATATGTTAAGATTCATCTCACCTCCAGCCCCGCTTACCCTGTGGCACGTGCAGCACACCGGTGGAAAGTCCAGCCAATACATCGGGGACAAGCTGCCTCTTGACGTCATAGTTTGCCACCCACGTGATGCAGGGAAGTAACCGGAGAAGAGTCCCGGGGATTTGACGGAATGTCCTCTTGGCCCTCTGAGCCGCTGTTGTTCTCGGCTGAGCCGGCGTGGACGCAGCCTCTTTGAGAAAACTGCTGGTCACGGCTCTTCTTTTCACCATTACGGTCGGCTCTTCCGACGCTCCTGCCACAACATAAATTTTCGGGAACTCCATTAGGATATCAGCAATACCACAATTGTTGAATTGTGTGTTTGTGTGTATGTGTGTTTTGGTCGTGTTCCGCCTGGGATGTGATTTCTAGTCGTCACTTAAATAAAAAAAAAAATCGGGCCTACTGCGTGTGGTTAAAAACGTATATATTTTCGTCCCAAAAAACGTCTGGCACAACTACGTAAATATTACGTTTATATAAAAAAAATGCCCTCAAGTTCTAAGCAGGAAGTTGCTATTGTTTTTGTTTTAAACATCTGCCGGCGACATATGACGACAGTTGCGTTCTTGTTGTTTTTCTGCGTATGCCTATAGGAAGGCTTCTATTTTCCGAGCAATATAAAATATTATGCCTTTTTTGTGGTTAATGTTTAGCGTCATCGCTAAAGTTGTTTTGTCCAGGTGTTCAACCGGGACCTAGGTCATCAGGGATGTTGCTGATGCTCTATGCAGTGAGCACCTTAGCAGGTGTGGTGTTGCCATCGGCTGCGCCAAAGGTGAGATACAGCATTCTTGTAAAAGTAAAATTCGGGTTCACACAAGACGTCAGAATGTACAAATAGCCAAACATCGGCAATAAGTAGCGAGAATAATACGGATCCAAATATTTGCTACACGAAACGCGCCACGGTTACCAGAAGACCGTTATGCACGTCCGCCCGTATATCCCTTCGCATAGTTTTGTTTTCTGTTATTAATCATATATACTTCAGACCGACAAAGCTCGAGAAGAAAGAGAAACGATGCTGCGAGCAAAATGCGCGTCCCCCTCATGCTCTCTGCCTGAGCCTCATTTGTGGGATTTGCATGCCAGCCGGCGTCGCCATGTGTGCTGATCACGAGTTCAAGGTCTGCATGTCTCTACTGATCGCGACACTAAGCACGACCATGCTTTCCTGAACCACTGCGTGCCTGAACGATGCTTGCACTGCTTGGCGAGGGCGCTGAAATTCCGGAGCTCACTGTTGCTACACACGCGCAGCGTTTTGTGGTGCTATTAGCAGCATTGTGAAATCATACTCAGTGTTCGAGCACGTTCGGACACAGAGTAGAGACCGAGGCAGAAAGCTTTGCGTCCTAGTCTTTCCAACCATGAGCTCGGCGTTTTCACGTCCTCGCGCCCACTTATGTCCTCCTCTCTCTCAATTTCTACCGGTACTGTCGAGACGGGTTATAACGAAGTAATCAGGAATCGGAACATCGGGACGGATATAACTTTACGAAAGCACATTTGAACTTCAAACGCATTTTTTTACATATATGGACGGATTTATTTTCATTTCCAGCCTGATATGGAACAGATAAAGTTAGATTTTCAAAGATGCACGAGAGGATACTATCTTATCCGGCTTTGGCATGGCCAAATGAGGCTTGATCTGTGTCCTTATGTCTCTAGACAGGGAGATATACGTATATCTGGGCCAAAAATGCAATTTCTTTGCAGTTATACGGGGAGTCCCTTTCTTTTTTCCCGCGCTTCCTCCAGACGCTAAGCGTTCGGAAACTAGTTTCCTGCTCAGTATAATCAAGCATTCCAAGGTAATTTTTTTTTTCATTTCAGGTGTATACTTTACGGAAATATCATTAACCACATGGTCAATATTATCAAACTGCTCATGATTCTCCGCCAATAAATTAAATAAAAAATAAAGACGTTTACAATTCTCCGTAATGCCGAATAGAGCCCAGCTCTTGAGGAGGAGGAGGAAAGGTTGCGGAGGATCACCCTTCGTACCCTCCCCTACTCCTCTCCTTCTCCCCTCCCGTTTAGCGCGAAAGTTTCGCTAAATTTAGTCGGAAGTTTATAGAAAATTCCCCTGCTAAATTTAGCGGGGAAATTTTGCAAAAAATTTTCCTATAAATTTGGCGGGAAACTGAACTGGTGTTGAGGTCACGTGACGTCAATTTCCCCGCTAAATTAAGCGGGAAAACTTTCCCACTGAATTTAGTGGAAAATTTATCCCGCTAAGTTTAGCGGAAAAATGTCCCTGCTAAATGTATCGCACAGTTTTTCCCGCTAAATTTAGCGGGAAAAAAACGTTCCATAATGCAACGCGTGGTTACGCCGACGCCGACGCCGACGCCGACGGCGACGCCGCTGAACCCGGAAACGGGCGCCTAAAAGCTGGGCTCTAAAATTGAAGACGTTTACGAATCTCTGTAACGCGAAATTAGAGAGCAGATCTTGAGGAAGGGAAGGGTATGCCGCGCCCCTCCTTCCGTACTCTCTCCTCCTCCCTTCCTACTTGCTCCTCGTCCCCTCCTCCTTTCCTGTTCCTCCTCCTCTCCCCTACTCCTCCTCATCCTTTCTTTCTTCTCCTTCCATCCTCCTCCTCCCCCTCCTCCTTTCTTCTGCCTCTGTACCTTCCCCTCCTCCTCTGCACGTGATGTCAATTTTCCCGCTAAATCTAGTGGAGAAACTGTTTGTTCATACTGAATTTGTTCATACTGAATTTGTTCATAGGTGACGTGACACGAAGTCATTAGACGTCACTTTCCCCGCTGCATTTAGCAGGGAAACTGAATTAGGCCTCAGGTCCCGTGACGTCAATTTTCCCGCTAAATTCAGTGGGGAATTGGATTGCTGTTGAGGTCACCTGATGCCAATTTTCCCGCTACATCTAGCGGAGAAACTGAATTTGTTCATAGGTGACGTGACACCGAGTCATGTCACGTCATTTTCCCCGCTAAATTTAGCAGGAAAACTGAATTAGTGTTGAGGCCTCATGACGTCGATTTTCCCGCTGAATTTAGCAGGGAATTGAATTGCTGTTTAGGTCACGTGACATCAATTTTTCGGCTAAATCTAGCGGAGAAACCTAATTTGTTATACTTTTGTGAGACACGTTGGTGATAAACTTAAATACTAGAAAGAATAAAACATGAAGTTCGGACAAAACAGCACATCTTTCGTTGTGTTTTTTGTCCGTCCTTCATGTTCCATTCTTTCTAGAGTTCGTTAAAAGGTGGCGTGACAAGAAGTCCCATGACGTCATTTTCCCTGCTAAATTTAGCGGGGAAAATGATACCGCTCAACCCGGAAGCGGGCGCCTAAAAGCTGCGCGCTAAAAACAAAAAAAAAAAAAACGCTTGTGCCTTTGCTTTTTTATATAGCACTCGGAGAGTAAATTACTGCGTGCTGAAGGCTACAGGTCTGAAAGCAAAGCAACTCTTCACAGCTGTAATAACCTCCTCAACCATTGCGAAAACTTCATCGCACGTCTTTCCTCATACTTGGAAAAATAAGAATGAAGTCTGAAGATGCCAGGTTCGGAAGATATCGAGAATGTGCCGACAACCTCTGCAATCAAATAAGTATGTGTTTAGGCATTCCAAAGAGCGGAGACCGAACTCAAAATAGGTCAAGTAGGTGCTGCGCATCACCGTGTACGATAACGCCTTACGCACCACTTAAACAGTCGCCATTTAACACTGCTATCATAAAAATTGATATCGTTCGAATGTCCATTAGCAAACTGTGTCGTAGCAGCCTTATCAGGCTCTCAGAGGTAGCCATGATCAGGGGACTTAGCCCAGCTCAGTGGTACAGAAGCAAGGCGCCTGTCATAGCATTACCCCTTTATGCATTTGTTGCATTTGGTATACGGCCGAAGTGGCCGCCATTTTGAGAATTCCGTTACACCGGGAGTACTTTGTAGTACGTTCTCCATATTAACGAGGAAAAAATGTATGTATTTTCCTAGTTTGTCCCCTAAAGTGGTGTTCATATAGCGGGGTTCATATCAACGATACATAACTCTACAAGAATCTCACGTTTCAACTATCAATGATACAACAGTCAGGAAAAACTAAAGAAACGTAGTCTTGGTTCGTGATTCGTATAGCTGCGTCTGCTAATAGTGCAATCGCGTTGATTGATAAGCGATAATATCACCACGTTCTAAGTTTCTTCAGCCGTCAGTGACTATAAATCGTATATCTCACAGCATAACAACTTTGAACGAGCGTTCACCTTATTACGCAGGAACTAATTAAACCTTGTGTGCCGGTTGAATTGCTCGTTTGTTCACACGCACGTTTACTTGGCTTGTTTTGTTTATTTCTTTGACCGCAGGTACGAACTCGGTGTTTGCTCATTGACGGATGGACGGCAATAAGGTCATGGACTTTCACACTATCCAAACAGACATCCCTTATTTAGATGTTATTAACCCTATAGAGTGATCAAAATATTTATTCAGTGTCGTCCATTGCAAAATTAAGGGGTCCATATCACAAGAGCGAATGACATTTTAGCGAATGGCGACATTTGAGCGAATGGTCGTTTTAGCGAATAACGGGGGCGCGCGTTAACCCATCCGTCGCGCTGCGCTTTACGCCGCTTCGCGGCGACAGTCTGCGGCAACTCATTAAAAAAATATGAACTCACTTGGCCCACCCGAAAACGCCGCTTCGCGGCGTCCGACTATTCGCTAAAGTGTCGTTCGATGAAACGTGGGCGTTCGCTAAAACGTCATTCGATCAAGTGAGTGCCTCCCAAAATTAAGACTAGGTTACTGAAAGATACCAAGTCTATCTCAGCTCGCTTCATATTGCTTACCTCTAAGAAGTCAGTGTTACAGACCGCTTCTCGCGGACTTGAGAATCGGCCGAGTTATTCCTATCGCCAGGAGAGGCGGCCGAACTTTATCCTCTGATAGGCATATGAAAAATTCTTGCCGCAACCATCATCATGCCATTCGGAGCCGCCATATTGTAGGGAAGGGAGAGGAGCTCACACCTTTTAGCTGCGGACGAGGCGCATCTGGATTTAACTCGGTTTCCATGATATTATGACAATGCATTTATGCACTCAGTGGGTTGCTGTTTAGTCTCGGCTCAAAGAAGACAAGAAAGAAGGATGCAAAATTCTTGAAAAGGAATTGTCAGCAACGATGTCGCAAGACTCGTCACTCAAGCAGTCAACTAGGACATCCAGGGGCCCTAAACTCGTGAAACACAAAGTTTGAGCGGGAAGTTCGCGGAGCGCGCCGATTGGACGT